CCATCCTGAAAAGTATCAACATGACACTTCAATAGAAAGCAACAGTACTGAACCTGTTTATGGTTTTTGCAAGTATTCATGAATGGAACTTGGACACTTTCACTAGGAGGGAAAGCTTGGATACATACAAAAGCTGCAAGTGAAATGATAATTTAAAAGAGGTTGTACACAATATGATAAGGAAAGAAATTGAAACTGTTAAAACAATTTTGATAGACCATATCCAATCCATTTAATTGATGAAAATATTTCTGGCTTTTATTTTACTATTATTATTTTTATATTACTTTATTGTATAATATGCAGGAATTAAAAAAAAAGATTTGATAATATATAGAATGATACATTATATAATATATAATAATATAGAATGTTACAATAATCTCCATAATGTACTTTTCTATTTAACACTTTAAAATTGGGATCTATTCTTTTGTTTTGATTATCTACCTAATATTGAATTGTAAAAATGAAATCATTTAACTTTGTTAAAATTTAGACAAACTCAAATTTGTTCAGTATATAAGCATCATTTTAAAACTTTATTATTGTAACAGATGCCCCCCACTTCCCAATAGTTCATGTGCTGTCATTTTGTCCTTTGTCTGTAATTTGAAGATCCACAAATGTCAACTGTCGAAGGTTTCAGTTGAAATGTTTGTGTGATTCAGGTGTGCTGTATACAAACATGCAGGAATGATGGCCTTTCTAAATAATGGGGGAAAATAGTATTCAACCAATAACAAGATTTATTAATGAGTGGGTTATAGATCAGTTGAATCCTTCCTCTTAACAACTGTTTAGAAGTTTTCAGCCAATATATACTCTACAGATGTGTAATGGTGAGAAGCACAAGGAAGATTGAATAACAGCTGGAAAAATTTTAAGTCAATGTGAACAATTAGTATGTTCAAATCACTTCCAGTTTTAAAGTGGCTGCTAAACTTTTCCCCCAACTACTATATTTAGTATTCTTGTGATGCTATGATCTATTCCACGTTAATAATGTATGAACCAGGTTCATTTCAAACTCTGTGTCATTAACAACATAAACTCTCCACTAGCTCAACAGGCATTCCTTGTTCATTCTATGTAATAAAACTTATTTAAATAAAATATTCCGTATATGTTACCAACATTTCATGCCATCAAAATTGATGCACTTGTCTCGTTGGTGCATGAGCATATAAATACCCTCCTCAAAGAACACAGCATCAAGCAACTTGCACCTCTGTAAAAAGTGTCATCACTTTGGAACAGCTACCTAGACAAATGTTGTTTGCCAAAACAGGTGATAATCTAAAGGAGCAAAGCCAGAACTATGTAGTGAATGTGGTAAAACATATCCAAAATATTTCACTCTTTTGTCAAGTAGGCTGGCTATGGGGTGTTGTTGTGCAGCAAGATAGCATTCTTGTGTAAATGTTCTGGACTTTTTCAATAAATAGCTTCTCTTTGAGTTAGTTTTATTACTTGGACTGTTATCCTCATATTCATTGCTATATTCACAATATTTTGGCTGTTGTATGTTGTGGCTTTTTTTCAGGTGATTGGAATTTCAAACTGAACCCTTTATTTCGTCCACCGGAGTAGATTGTTCTAGTTCCACATGCCATGCCTCGCCTCTTCCAGAAGTCTCATTTATTTCACTTTAACTTAATTCTCCAATGTCTTTATCCACTGGGATATGTGTCCTTGAGGACACATAATGATAACACTCCAAGTAATATAAATAATAAGTAATCATAATACCTGATCTCAGAGATATATACAGATACTGTCTTCAAGGATACATGGCTCAGTGGATAAAGACATTGTTTAAATCCAGTGACTAGAATACCTGCAATATTTGTTGTTGATGAACATGGATATCCTACATGAAACTCATCCTGCAGATACATACACCACTCTCTGAACTCATTAGACTAGACTGATACCTGTTTGATGCTCATTATATGTTTGCTAAGAACATCAACAAGTTCACAGTGAATTTCTATAAGCTTTTTGCCTTTGGCTTGTGTAAATTTTATTACCCCTTTGCACCTCTGTTTGTCCTTTGTTTTTATGGTGGCTGTCATCTTTGTTGTGATGTCTCATATGCATGCAATGAATATTAAATCTCTTCTGGTTCTTATAAGAAGCATCACATACCAATTTTGCTGCTTTGTTTTTACTTACTTGCATCTCTGGATTAATTTCTGCCCAGTCAGTGTTTTAGATCTATGGCTTAATCAGTGGATGCACTTATACACTGGCACAATTCTGATTTTTGTATACAACATAGTAACACTCATTTTTTTTTTTTGTACATGCCATCATATGTTTAATTAATTTTATTATGTAAACATATGTAGATCATTCACCCAATGTGTCCAGTAACACTGGATTAACTTTTCAGTATGGTCACTCACTTTGACCTGCAATTTGTCATTGTTAAAGAGTCTATGTTGGTTATGTAAACATGAACCTCTTTCTTTCAACTCAGTAAAACTGTATTGTTGGCTTTTGAAATTAGCATTATATATTTTTAAGACAGTTGCAAAAACTGTATTGTTGGCTTTTGAAATTAGCATTATATATTTTTAAGACAGTTGCAAAATATAATACAACACCTTCTCTCAGCTCCACAAAATTATTCATGGCCTTTGAAATTACTTACAATCATGATACTGCATCACATTATTTAATTTTTCATAGAAGAAAAATTGGCTCTTGGACAATTACATTTTTATTCTGTTTTGTATACTTTAGTATCTGTCTATATTTTTGAGATAAGGTATTATGTACACATCCTCATCTTTGCTGCAATATTTATCACACCGTTTCTGCCGTTGTATGCTCTGGCCTTCTTCAGGTGGCTGGAATGTTGAACTGACCCCATTATTTCGCTCGCTGGGGCAGACTTCTAGTTCCACATGCCATGTTTAATGGATGTCAATTGTTAGTTATCTCCTTTTAATTCCCATCTCCAAGTTCTTAACCAGGTATTGAACTCACACTCTTTGGGTCCTGTCATTGGACCTAACTAACGCCTTTATCCACTGTATATGAATTTCTGTGTATTATAAACCTAATGTCTTCAGCAACCATTTTTAACAGTACTCACATTGCAATTTTTGCTAATTTTCATTATTATTACTTTTCTCTGGCACTCCTTATTACTGGTTCCTATATTGTATTCATTTCTATACTTGGTTGGCTCAGGAGATTTTTGTGGCCTAGAATATGTGCTGATTCCTTAAGTTTATGAATTTTCCAATGATGTTCTTTGTCTATGATTTCAACCAGATCCCACAGAGGGCGGTGATTTCCCTTTTCTCTCCATATGTGGTCAGCCACGCCTGATTTTTCCACTTCCCCTCGTGTTACAGATTTTTGGTGTTCTTGAAGCCTTACCTTAAGAGGGTGGCCTGTCTCCCTTTTATATTTCTTTCTGCAGCTGAATGGGATGGCGTACACACAATTTTTAGTCATGTTCTCCCCTATGGTGGTCTCTTACTTGGGAGAGGTATCTGTGAAGTGTTGTCCAACTTTTGAAGGTTGTCCTGATGTTATATGAACTGCAAATCCTTTGTATTTTCTCTGATAACCTCTTCACAGGCAGACTGTTTTCTGAGTGTTGTTGTCCTCCTCTTGTACCTGTCTATCCCAGTTTTTGGGGCTGCTGCCATGTACCCAGGGTAGTTGTTACATTGTAGGGTAATGCTTATAGTGACCAATTCTTTATCTAATGTCTCTGGGTTGCCACATGACTTTTGCTCTGTGTTGTAAGCAGCGGATGATCCTTTTATGCTGTATGGCTGGTGGAATTTGAAATTGAGGTACTTTCTGGTGAGTGTCGATTTGCAGTATGTGGATGTCTTGAACCCATGGTCTGTTTGAGATATTAGAACATCCAGGAATGGGAGTGTATTACTCTCTTTCTCCATTGTGAACTGTATTGAAGATCTTATTGAGTTCACATGGTCCAGTAGAACCTGGACATCTTCCTGGTGCAGCCAGAATATGAAGGTGTCATCTCTGTATCTTAAGCAAAGAGTTGACCTTAGAGATATAGACTCTAATGCTATTTCCTCAAAGTATTCCATGTATATATACTGGTCTGTTCTCTTAGGGATGAGTCAGAGGTCTGACTACTGAGAGTACCTCCTCTATAGGTACTTTGGTGAACAAACTCACCATGTCCAAGGTCACCATCTGGCTGGATAGGATGAGAGCATCTTTGATTATTTCCACAAAGTGGGCAGAGTTTCAGCCATATGAAAGTGACTTTCCGATCAATGGGTCAATTATATCTACAAGGAAGTGACTCAGAGGGTGGCACACAGAGCCTTGGCAACTAACAATTGGCCTGAGTGGAATACTGTCTTTGTGAATTTTAGGGAGACTGTATATGTGAAGTACCTTGGTGTACTTTGTATACAATTTTGATTATTTTTGCAAATATTAAAAGATTTAGATTTGGGATTTAGTATTTGTGAAGTGTGGTTATCATAAAAATTCACCTACATATCTATATAAATTTATTTATCTTTATTCAAAAATCAATGATTAGTTTTGTCGATGATTCAAGCTCAAAATTGATCACTTATACTGTTGCCTATAAAAAGTCGAAATCATGGTTTTTATGATTTAGTTTTATATGTCATATTCATATTAATAAATTTGTGGATATTTATTGTTTTTTTTGTTTTTTTGTTTTTTTTTCATGTTTGAGATGTAGCTAAATAATGAAATAATGCTATTTCAACTGATATAGACACAAATACTCTGAAGTAGAGAATGATATCCCAAACAAATTCAAATGAAATCTATTGCTTAAGAACATTACTTCAGGATATAGTTAATTTTTTTTATCATTATAAAAAACAATATATAAAATATTAAGAATTAATTTTATGATTTCAGCTTAGCCACAAATAAGTAAATCTTTGAGGATTGTTGTTAAAACTTTTGATGTATGCTCCTCTCACTAATCTCATCTTAACTTTTAATTTCAGATTCCAATCGGAGATTTAAAGAGAAAATTGATATGGAGAAAATTGTGGCTCCTTTTGAGCAAGGTAATTAAAAAAATGTATGCAACTTTGTTATTTTTTAATTTAAGTGCTAGCATTTGAAAAAAACAATTTATTGAGAATTATACAAAAATAGTTTTATATTCTGAAACTTGTTAAATTTAGTAAGTATACTTCTTGGATAGCAAAATTTAAAAATGAAGTTAATGAAAAATTCAATTGATGTATTTTACAAAAATATGTTAGACTTGGTTAATAGTTGATTTTGTTTATTATCATTCCAAAATGAAAAAGTAGCTCTTATTCCTTTAACATTTTAAATATTTACTGTTATTAGCTGCAATTGGTTTCTATTATGTATAAAGTTTTTTAAAAAGTTAATGAAATTTATTAAAAACTATTCATAATGTGATGCTGCTACACTGTAGTCCCTTTTATAGTTTCAATCATTGAGTTAATAATGTATTTGATGTTACTTATTTTTCAACTTATATTTCATTAGTATCTTAGACATATCTTAGTTGTATTTTTAACAGTACAAGAGAGTGCTGTAAAGTATCTGACCTAACCAACAAGCTCTTCCAAAACTATGTGATGTTTGTTTTTTGGTTAGATTTTGGGATGTGAGGGCCAGCCAATAACTTTTCAGTATATCTAAGAAAGCAATTAATGTAGAAAAGAGAGCTTAATTTCATAATTTCAATACACTAAACAATTTTCAATATTCATTGGAGACTTAGAATTTGGATTAGTATTGTTCATAAGAATCAAGTTACATGATTTAAAACCATTACTTTATCATTCTTCTTCCTCTCATGACTTGCTTATAAAATATCTTTTTGGTGACTTCAATGCCTATCAAGTCAAGTGGCTCCATCACTCTAATGTATTCACACTTTGAACTTCTTAATTGTTCAATCTCTCACTCAAATAATAGACATCCCTATGCATTTCCCTAGTAATTTTGGCAGACATATTTCTCTACTTACCTTCTCTCTGGACTCATGTCATGCTCTGCGGCTCTGTCCCCATGGCAACTCCAACCATGTGGTTGTGTCTGTAGATATGTTTTCACTCACCTATCAAGAATCCCCTATTTAACAGAAACTCTTTCTGTTGCCAACACACTGATATTCATTTTGTGATTTTCTTTGTGATGCCCTTTAGAATGATATTTTTAATCATCCTGTTGAGAAACATGTCATTGTAGTTTCTTTCTGGATGAAAACTGGCATCTAAGCCAACATGCCAACACAGAAATACCAAATGAAAGCATGATCTATATCTTGATTCTATCCTGCCTGTTCAGCTGCTATAGCTAAAGCATAATTTTCTTCCCCTTCCACTCTCATCAGGAAATATCTTTGATTTTCCCATGAGAACAGAGTCTCTACAGAGTGATATGCATGTAATTCCAGCCAGGATTTCTGCTATCATTTCTAAACTAGATTCCCACAAGGCTTGTGGATTTGATGATATCCATGCAATTATCCTAAAAAAAATGTACTCTTGAACTGGCTCCTGTTCTCTCCAAACTTTACAACAAATACCTCACTGCTTCTTGCTTTCCAGCTTGTTGGAAGTAGTCCTTGTAGTTCCTGTCTTTAAAAACTCTGGGACTCTTGTTGGTAAAGTAGTAAAGCTCTGATCAATACCAAATTAGTTAAGCACTTTACTTCTTACAGTCTATTTTCAGATAAACAATATGACTTTGTTTCTTCAGGTCTACCACCAAAGTGTTAACAGCTATTCCTTAATTTTTCTCTCTAGCTTTGCATAAGAATGGTGAAGCCCACGCTGTGGCTATAGATAGCTTGGAGATGTTTGAAAGAGTTTGGTATGCTGGCCTTCTTCACAAGTTCAAGGGATACAATTGTAAATGCTGCTTGGGTTTATGTGTTGAGGTTATCAAATGTAATTGTGTGTTCTAAGAGCATTTATCTATTATACATTTAATGATTCAAGAAAAAAACGAGACTCCAATTGTGCATCAACAATAAAATATATATTGAAACAATAACATACAAAACAATCATGCAATGGTGTGTCGTAATTAAGGGAGAAAAAGTTGCTTCCCGTCAACTGTATTCTGATTAAGATTGAATGTTCAAAAGAATTTGTTTTGAATAAAAATGTTCAGGATTCTCTGTTGAATAGAGTCTGGTGTTAGAATAGAGTACAATTAATTAAGAAGTGTGTTGTTTTGAGTAAGTAAGAGAGAGAGTTCTGGTTCGTGAACTTGGCAGAGTGACAGAGAGGAAGAATATGTAATGTAATACAAAAATCTGTGTCTGTGTGTGCGTTGTGAGTAAAGTCATGGATTTGTGTAGACAGGTGTAATAGCTGGACTCTACTGATAACTTGTGAGAAAGTCAGTAAGAGTTGTTGGCAATGATCTTTAACCTCTGACCGTACGGTTAAGACAGGATTTCTTGAAGATTACATCTTGGCAGCAAGGAAAAAGATGAATGAAGAGAACACGAGAGAGCTTATTCGTGTTTTATTTATATAAAGCTGTGTCACACATGACAGGCTCTGAAGCTTGTGCGCAGAAAAATTGCCGGTGATTTGATTGGTCGGAATTGACCAATCAGCAAGCTAGTTTTGAGGAGGTCAGCCAATGAATGCTTGTTGCATGATCTGTATACAAGCATGTGTGTGTGATGTCGATGATGATCGCTACACAGTATTTCTGGATGAATATTCGGCTTAATCCAACTGTTCCTAACAAATCATATAATGTAGAGTAATTGACCATAGTTAAATGTAATTGTCAGAAATGTCCAACAGACAAAAGTGGCAAAATTTGCAATAAACAATAACAAGAAAAGAAAAAGAACAGGGCAAAAAATAATATTGAGCAAACAATATAGGCAAGGCAAGACAAAGGAATGTTAACTTTTACTTTTTCCACTAAATTTTTTTGACAATTTCATTAAAAGGACTAGTGATGGTAGCAACAACAATATTTTTTAATTAACAACTAATCTGATTAACTGGAGCAGTAGAAGCAACAGTAAAAAAAACAAACAAAAAAAAAACATCACTATTTTTTTCATAATTATAAATATATAATGTATTATTTAAATTATAAATATATAAATAAATATATTTATAGAGGATTTGTTTTGGTTTATTAACCAAAACAAATCTGTAGTAGATAGGCTTACCTATTGTCTGGCCCGAACTTCTTCCATTTCTATTGAACCGGAGTAAAGGTTCATCCCTTGTTTCTTATTCAGTTTACCTGTTCCTTTGTTTCTTCTACCAGGGCAATAGTGATTTAACTTTTTGGCAATCAGACTAACTAGTCACTTTGATTTTTCATTGTGAGAGTACTAGGTTGGTGGTTTGCTGGCTGCTGCTTCTGACTCGTCATTAGGAGCCCAAACTCTTTTGTAGCATTAGAGAGGCTGATCTGATCAACAGTTGCATAATATCAGGGTATTCTCATATTGCGAATGTATTTCAAGTAGTCAACGCTGAGGCCACACTATGCTCTGTTCTCAGCCATACTCTGGCTGGTTTGTATTGACATTGACAACAGTGTCAATTATGGTGGTCTTTTCTCTCTCTCCTCAAAATGAATTTCATGGAAAACACAACAAAAAGAAATACAACTAAACCAGTAAACAAAAAAAAATCACCTATCCCGCCCTCGCCTTTCTTTCACTAATATTTGTGGTATCTGTTCCAACTTTTGAAATGTAGGATCTTTCCTCTTGGAACAGTTGCCAGATATCTTAGCTCGCTATGAAAGTAACTTAAATTCTTTGATTGTTACCAATGAATCTTTGGTTCTAGGCCATCTTCCCCTTTGCCAAAAAGAGTGCAGCATTCACATGCATGGCCTTAGAGTGTTTACATCTGGGATAATTGAGGCCCTAGACTACTCTTTCATGTGCTTCTGTCTTTCATTACTCTGTTAGCTATCTCTTTTTCTTTATCGCTCCCCCTTTTCTCAGGACTGCAGTATATTAGACATAATTGTTGACAGTATAGAAAAGTCACTTTCCCTCCACCCATTTGTGAACATCTTTGTCTTTGGTGACTTTAATGCTCACCATAATATGTGGTTTAAACATTCTAATAGCCAGTGTTCAGCCATGATATTTTTCCATTGCTCGATACCTTACTCAAATCGTGAACTTCCCTACTCATTTCCCTAGCTAAACCGAGTAACATGCTTCTCTACTTGATTTATTTCTTACCTCCTCTCCTCCCTCTTGCTGAGCTTTGCAACACTACCCTCTTGATAATTCTGATCACTCTGAGATAGTAGCTATTGATATTTCGTTCCAATCCTCTATTAAACAGGATTTATCCACAAGACCTTTTTCTGTTACCAGCATGCTGATTGAGACTCTCTATGATGCCCCTTGGACTGACAACTTTAAACTCCCAATTGAAAATTGTGCCACTGAGGTTTCTTCTTGGGTCAAAGCCAGCATGGGTGCTTTCATCATTTCTCAGTAATACCAGGTGAAACTTCAATCCTCTCCATGGTTCGCACCAGCATGCTCGGCCACTATTGCACACAGGAACCACTATTTTCAGCTGCTCTAATAGTGTATTAAATAAGTATAAGGTTTTTATTCCTCCCTTCTTCAATCATTATGAAGTGTTATCATCCTCTGATGATAAAGCTGAATACTTGGCCTGTAAATTCTCCTCAACCTCTACTCTTGACTCAACTGGAATATCCCTGCCTAATTTCTCTTCTAGAACTGAGTCTCTGTTAAGTGATATGCATATGACCCCTTCCATGGTTTCTGCTATCATCTCTAACCTAGGTCCCCACAAAGCATGTGGACCCAATGGTATTCCTGTAATAGTCATTAAGAAGTTTGCTCTCAAAATGGTGCCTGTTCTCTTTAAATTGTATAATTAATGCCTTGCTTTCCTGCCTGCTGGAAGTCATCATTCCAGTTTTTAAAAACTCTGGTGAGTTGTCTGACCCTTCCAATTATTGGCCTTTAAGCCTCTTTTGAGCAAACTCCTAGGAGCTCTAATCAATGCTGAATTGGTTCATCATCTCTCGTCGCAGAGCCTTTTCTCAAACAAGTAATATGTCTTTCATTTTTTTCTCAGTCAACTGCTGATGTACTGACAATATTTGCAGAAGGAGTTCATCATGTCCTAAATAAAAAACAGTTTAAAAAAAAAGCCCGGGTTGTTGCATTGGACATCTCAAAAGCCTTTGACAAAGTCTGACATTCAGGTCTTCTCCACAGGCTGAAAAGTTACAGTGTCTCTGGACACTATTTTTTAAACTGACCCAGTCTTTCCTATTAAATCATGAAGTGAGAGTTATCCTGAACAGCTACTAGTCTTGATCCTTTCATACTAACGCAGATATCCCCCAGGATTCCATTCTTCGTCCTACTCTATTTTTAATTTTCATTAATGAACTTCCTGATGACATCAGCTCTGAACTTGGTATCTACACTGACAACACAACAATTTACTCCTGCCCCAATAGTTAGGCTTATCAGTCTAACAAGGTCAAAATAGCAGCCGATGTCCAAAATGACCTCATGTCCGTAGTTAACTGGGGCAGAAGATGGCTTGTTAATTTTAACACCTGTAAAACTAAACTTCTCTCCATTAATCATCTGAGGGACCCTTTGCTGCCTTCCATCAGCATGGCTGATGCTATCCTCCAGGAAATGACTTGTTGCATCTTCTTGGGTTCAAGTTCTCTGCTGATATGAAATGGAAAGACTATATCGAATCCATTGCTAAGTCAGCTGTTAAGAAAGTCAGTTCACTATGTTGGGCTCTCTAGAACTTACATATCTGTAAGTCTACGATTTGTCCATGCTTAGAATATTGCTGCCACATATGGTCTGGTGCCCCTGCTATTTACCTTGAGTTCCTTGATAAGATCCAAAGAAGAATCTGCAATATTATTGGTCCTGATCTGGCAGCTCAGCTCCAGTTACTTTCTCACTGCTATAAGTTTGCTTCTTTATGATTTTCTATAAATACTTTCATGGTAATTGTTCGAATGAACTCTTGTCTATGGTACCTAGAGTTTTTTTAATTTAAATGCAGCACTAGACTGGTGTCAAGATCTCATCAATTTTAGTTGTAGCCGTAAATTCTATGCTAGCATTTTTTTCTCTTGCACTTCTCACTTGTGAAACTCCCTTCTGGCTTTAAATTTTTCAGTCATCTTGAATCTGCAAAAATTTAAATGCAATGTTAATTGCTATCTACTGTTCACCTGATTACTCTCTTCTCTTTCTGTTCATCGTTAATGTTTCTGTTCCTAATTCTTGTGTTTTAGTGGCATTACTGTTCACAAACTAAGAATGGTATTAACACACAAAAGGAAATACAGACTTAATTCTGATGAGAGTAAGAAGTGGCCTATTTTATTGCTTAGGAAAAATTCCCAGCATGAATCTGTTTTGTCTTAAAAATTAGGGAAGGGCGGGCATTTTTGCAGTCATTCTGACAAGCTTGGAATCAACATGTAATGAAGGTCATTTTCAATAGATATGCTTCTAGTACTTTTCATATTAATTTTGGAATCTCCCAGGACTCTATCCTTGGACTTATTTCTTATCGTCATCAATGACTTTACCTGATGTCATCAGTTCCTAATCAGGAATTTATACTGATAACACAACTATTTACTCCTGTCTTAGTAACAAGTCCGACATGTTCGATAAAGTAAGGAGTGGCAACTGCTCTTGAATAGGACCTCCAGTCAGTTGTTAAATGGGGCAAGGAATGGCATGCAAATTTTAATGCTTCCAAAACAAAACTACTTTCATTTTATCATCACAGAGAACCATTTCTGCCTGCTGTCACCAAAGTTAATGTTAACCTCCAGGAAAGCAACTCTTTGGACATTCTTTGCATCTTTTGGCGCTCACTTTTTGTGGAGTGATTATATTGAATTGATTGCTAGGAATCTTGGTTCACTGTGTTGTGTCAAACAATTTTTATCATCAGAATTGATCTCATACATTTATAAATCTACCATTCGTCTGTGCATTGAATACTGCTACCATATCTGGTCTGGTGCTCCTGCTATATCTCTCAAGATTTTTGACAAAATTCAAAGAAGGGTCTGTAATGTAATTAATCCTAACCTGGCATTTTGACTTCAGTCACTTTCCCACCGCAGAGACATGGCTTCCCTGTCTTTTCTACAAATATTCTACATGGCAATTGTTCTGATGAGCTATCTTTCTTAGTACCTTAATGCATTAAAGCATGCTACTAAATTGGTAACTAGGTCTCACTGTTTAAATGTCAAACTAGCTAGATGCAACTGTATGTTCTATTCTAATAGTTTATTTTCTCGCATTTCTTGCCTGTGGAACTTCTGATTTCTTGCTTCCCTACCACCTACATTTTCAAAAATTTAAATGTAATGCCAATTGCCATCTTTTATTGTTCTTTCTCTTCACTAAAGTCTACTGTCTTTCACCCCCAGTAACCCCTCACATCTTAGTGGCATTATTGCCTTGCTTGGGATGAAATAATTTTTAAAAAAATTATTTTTAGAGTAATAGTATGTATGTTGGAAAGTTTTCAACCCAACCAAAAAAGTAATAACACCGAACTATGCTATTCCACATATTTGATATATTATTTTTCAAGTTTCATTAGCACCCCCCCCCCAAGCTGGGCCAACATCTTTTCCAATATCCCTCATATAGTTTATTTTTGATGCTATTTCTAGTATTCAAAAAAATAGATTTTTAAATAATTTATTGTTTCGTGAACATTTTTCAGTATTTTTTTTATTTTCTGGTTTAAAAATATTGTCTGTAGTAGTTTTTAAAGTTGGGCCTTTTTTTTTTTTTTTTTTTTTAAATGTGGAAGGAAAATTACATTTAAAAATTAAGTTTTCAGAATGGAAAAATATAAATTATTGTTTCTTATATTTCCATTGGTGATAACATTGTTTTTGCTAGGTTGGAAACGTGAAGTTGTTATTCGAAGTGTTTATGAGGAATTCACCAAAATGGGAAGACCCAAAAGGGTTCCCGCTGATGTATACTATTATGCCCCAGATAGACGAAAATTGGTAAGTTTCTTTTCCTTTATTCTAAACAAACAGTAATAAATTTTTTTTGTTTATTCTTTTATCATATATTTAATTTAACAGTATAAAGAGTTTCTTGCGCAGGAATATTTAATGCATAAATATAGCATTAATTGCAAAACCAAAATTTAACACTATCGTGGGTCTGATCATAAACAATGTCCATGTCCTGGGTAAGACGATAAACTATGTTCAACAGCAAGTTTTGAGGAGTGTGGAACCACCTCTTAATTGCTGGTGTTCTCAGGTCCATCCTGACTCGGGTGGTAGCACCTGTTAGGGTCCCAGCTATGGGCAAATAGTTAACCCCCAAACTGGGGTTAAAACACTATTAAAGTGTAAAAATAGGTTTTAATATCAGAAATACTTTGTAAAAAATTTTGAAGAAAAAAATTATTACCAGCAATAAACTTTTGAAGAAAAAAATTATTACCAGCAATAAACTTTTGAAGAAAAAAATTATTACCAGCAATAAACTTTTCAAGAAAAAAATTATTACCAGCAATAAACTTTTCAAGAAAAAAATTATTACCAGCACCAGTTTTTAAGAAAAATATAACCAGAAATAGATTTTTTGAAGGAAGGAATGTTACCAGAAATAGATTTTTGAAGGAAAAAAATATTACCAGCAATAAAAAATTTTGTTGGCATTTTGTTAAATAACCCATTATATAAGCCTGCAAGTGGAACTTTATAACTTCTGATCTAGTGTCACTTGTCCCTAAAAGTTTTCATTTATTTATCTATTTTATTCCCTTTTGTCAAGAGGGAAGCTACTTTGAAGGTCCTACTTCACAGACCATAAAAAACACAAGACATTCAAATGAAACCATTTAGAGGGCACTTAACATTGTGTTCTAATGATGACCTTTTTCTATTCTGTTAGATTTATTTGGTCATTCATGGTATATAAAAAAGAAATAATAGCTTCTTTATAATTGTGAAAATCTCTCATGGACATTTTATAAAAAGAAAATTTTCATTATTTATGATAGCAGTTAGACTTTTATAGTGTATAAAATTACCACAAAACAAAATTAAAAACATAAGTTTAAACATCTCAGGATAATTAGTGATAAAATGATTATATTATGATGTTTGTAGGCCTATCAACTGTTTGTGACTCATGTTGATAACTGACTTAATGAATTACCTATGTACATATACTTTGTTTAGTTTGTATAATTAGTTATTGTACAAGATAATGCTGAAGAGTTCTCAGCCTAAACAAAAGGAATTAAAAAAAATCTGATGCTTGTTCATTTGATCATATTTTGAA